TAGCACAGCTTTGTTTAATGTTTTGAACCCTGCCTGGCTCCAACAGATAATATCCATATTTATTGATACAGAGGTCTTGTGTGAACATGACCAGAAATTCTTTGTGCTCTGCAATCTCACCCCACTCGTGCTGCAGGAAGCAGCTGACTGGCCTTTCCCACCCACCACTTCCTTTGGAATGAAGATGATATCTCCCCACAACCACTGCCTACAGACAAGATGCCACAAGCAAACAGGTGTTTTCAGCAGGCAGGAAGGGAGAAAAATAAATAAACCTGAGACTGCAGGAGAGGAAGAAGGCTGTGACCCACTTTCTAATATCCTCCAAGTCAAATTTTATCCCAGACCTGCAACCAGCAAATCCTGCCTGTCTCAGATCCAGTGAAAGGGCTTTTGACTGCCTTAGAGAGCAGAACTAGACAGTTATGTTTAAAACAAATAATAACTAAACAAAGGGAGAGTCACTTAACAAAGTCAATTTGCCAGCAAGCTTTCCTGTGGATAAGTATGCCAGTGTTTGCTAGCCTTGCAAAATTAGCCAAAGGTCATATTGGCTGTTTCCCAAATTGCAGACAAACTTTTGAGTGCACCAAAGCCTTCAGTTGCTGCTGCAGCATCACACCCTTCCGCTTATGTCCTTTAATGTTTATGTAACCTTAAGTCTAGAGCCAATGAAAAAGGGTTTATATTTTTTCTAAAAATGTCAGCACATGTTTAAAAACAAAACAAAAAAGCCCAGCCCTTCCCCACAAAGAGACCAATTCAAAAACTTCTAAAACAATGATCTTTAAAACCTATATCTTGTTTTGGCATGTTAAAAAATAACAAACAAAAAATTCCTAGATTTCTGTTTGAACTGACTTCCCGTTGGTACTTACACTGATATTGTATTTAAAATTACGCAGATGGTATAATCGATAAATTAAATTATCATTGATTTTGACACTTTTGCTTCAAAACCTGTACAAATGCTCATATATGTTCAGATACTGTCTGAACAGAGGGGTATCTACATGTTATAAGAGAAGGAGGATAAGAATGGTTTCTAGAAACAAAACAAAAAAGCTCAGATGGATTTCCCTTTTCTTCCCCCTCTTACAACTAAAGTAACTTTCAAATTATACTTACTAGTTCATGCAAAGCTAGCCAGATCTACTTTGATTTACCATTGGAATTCACACAGTTGAAACCAATTAGAGCTAATTAAAGGAACCTGCCAAGCGAAGGCTTCAGAGAGAGCACCCAGTTTGGCAGGTGGGTGGGAAAAAAAGGCATATGTAGTTTCTACTAAAAGTCCCATTTTTATATCTATGGCCATGGAGTAAAATAAACTTGGGCTTTAAATTCACTGCAAACAAACTAAGCAGTCTTGAGGCAGTGAAATCCCCCAGAGGACATCACTTCCTATTTCCAAGCACAAGCTTTAATCACAGAATCACTACCTGCTTAAGTTCCCCGATGCTTAAACACTTCCCTTCTGTCCTTGCCATAAGCAAAGTCTCTGCTGCTTCAGCACCAGCCCCAGTGCCTGGAGATGAGCTCAGCCCAAAGTGCCAGGCAGTGAAAGTACAGGTAAATCTGTAAACACAACAACCAGAGATGGTCTGGCAGAAAATGCACCAGTAAATTCAGACCAGGAGAGACAATGGTCAGCAGGTCATATTTGAGACACAGAGTAGGAAATGATGATTTCTGTATGATTCCCTGGTATTTCACTTCAGAGCTCTTGTCAGTGTACTTGTGAGCAAGCTTCCTGCAGCAAAGCTCTTCCACTCCTGAGGAACTGGGTAAAATCCTTCTGCTTGGCAAGTCTGCATTGACAACCCCTGTGCCCTGTTAGCCATTTTCTCCTCAAGGTTAATTCTGCCACTGAATTTCTCTAGCAAACTGAACAATACTTGCTGCTTTTTGTCACAAAAGAAATGGCATTTCTGACTTTGTTTCAGGTTCCCAGAATGAATAAAAGGCAGGGACAGAAACTAGAAAAAATGTTTTAAAGAGCAGGAAAGAAAATTTAACATGCGTCACAAACCCAGCTATGTTAACATTCAAATGCCTTAATTTCTCATTAAATCTTGGACAAGATGATTTTAAAATAAAAGGAGGAAATTGATGTTTCAAGCCATTACCTTGGCTTTTTCATGAGACATCAGTACTTCAAAAGTAAGAAAATTAAGCTGGGCTCTTCAACCAAAAAAAAGCTGAATTTGCCAATAAGTTCATTGTGGCAGCAAGTAGTGACATTTTTCTCCCACTTACATAACAAGATTTGTGTACGCCTTCAACTACCAGCTTTCTACATTAATTTCTCCCAGTTAAAATATTTTTCAGTATTACTGTTCCAGTTGTCCAAGGAATACTCACAAGACCCTTACTTCTGTTTATAGTCAGAGGCATTATCACAATATAAGAACTAAATCTGTGCGCAGAATTATGGAGTAGCTTTGGGTTTTGACTGGATTTTTTGGGTTGGTTGAGTTTCGTTTTAATAATTTGTCTAAACAAACTACTTCTTTTGTACACATACACATGTCAACCTTCTACCACCTCACCTGCAATTGGGTTGTTGCAAGGAGGGACAGGAAATCAGTGAGTGAGATCTGTATATAAATATATAAAATTCCCTTCCTCAGCCCAAAATATGAGAGTGAGTCCTACTCAGCAAGGAAGTGCCCTGTGAGAGGAGAGGGGAAAAAACCCAAAGCCAGTTCTGTTCTAAAAGTATGGTAACATATTCCTTTTGAAGCTTGAGAAGTCAGTCTGGGTTTGTTGCATACATTGGTGTTTTCTCAAGCTCTCAGCACTGTTGCAGTGCTGCTGCCCTGCTCTGCTGTTCCAGCTTCCCTGCAGCACAGAAAGTTGTTCCACAGGCTTCACAGGGAAACACACTCCTCAGCCTTTTTTCATGGTAAATGCCTGATCTAATAATTTTTGGTGTGGGTTTCTGAACCTATTTTATAGAAATTCCTACTCTGTTTTCCTCAAATACTTTAGCGCAGTTCTTGCTCTAAAATGTATGGTGAAAACTGCTAAGAAGCCTAAACGCAAGATACAATGTACAACTATAGGAAAAATATTCTAGATACAAGCAGGCTTTTCAATGTATCAGGAGGAAGCCAGGAGCAGAGTGACTAGGAAGGTTCTAACCTAACTCAAACTACAAATGAGACTCATTTGTTAGCAGGAAATGTTAGCAGAGTGCTGGCAGGCCTGCTAATGGCCCCTTCTGGATTTAAAATGAACAGATACATGTTAGAGTGGGGAACAGCTGGAGGGGAGGAGAACCCACTAACAGAGATCTATTTATTGGTACACCTGGGCTGGGTGAGTTTCTGGTAAGTTGCTGTGTAGAACCACTATTTCATTTTATTAGAGTTCTTGAATTTTTTAAAGGAGATTTTACATTACTTGAATTTTACTCAGAAAAGCTAACAAACCCCATATGCTCTATTTATTACTGAGTACAATTCCCTGAATAAACTCTGATGGAAAAAGAAAACTTAATTTTAAAATTTCTTTTTCCACTCAGTGGATCTATTTCTAGAGCAAACAGCAATACAAATCAGCCGTGTATATTGATGAATAGTGGCACTGTGATAAATGTCTAATAATTATTGTCATAATCAGATCTGTATTTTAATTGCTGTGCTAAAATTCTGAGAGATAAGGGACCTGCTTCAAGGTAAAAATCATTCAAATCAACATACAAAATGATCTGGTGCAATGCTTTGGTATACTACCTCATAATCACTTTATATCAGCTCCTAAAACTTGATGTGAGCCACTGACTTTGGACTCGTATGGTTTATAGTCTAGTGATGGATTTGGTAAGACATAGAGCAAAAAATGAGGGAGGAATTATGGGGATTTTTTTTCCCCAAAAGTAAATACTAAACAGAGAGAAAGATGTTGGAGGAGATACGAAATTATAAATTCTGTCACTGAGACACAAACTTCATGGGTAGAGACTAATCAGAAAAGATTCAGCATCACATAGCAAAAAATGGGTGTAGCGTAATGCACACAGCTGATGTGCTTAGGTCATTTGAGAGGTCTACATGTCTTTGTTTGCTACAGTAGCTGCATTATAATGGACATTTATCATATCTAGAGAAGTTTACTCTGGTTTTCTCTTGCACCATGACTTCAGTTTAATGTTTACGTGGTTTTTAGACTCTTACAGGTAACAGCTTTCTTTTAGTTGCTAAACAAATAGAAGTAATCCTTTACAAGGAAAAATCACGTAACTTTGGGAGGCGTTTGGAGGAGGTAACCATGGGGGATGCCCCGGACTTCAGACATTACTAGGACAGGATAGGACAGGACTCTGGCTCTGCCAGGTCAGACTTAAGGTAGTGTTGGTGTGAATCATCTGGTTTAACAAAGGAACATTTTCAGAAATAATTAGGTTAGTTCCATTCACTAATATAAGAATCTAAAAGCAAAAAGTGTGCATCCTTGAAAATATAGAAAATAGAGGGAAGGTCGGCTTGTTTCTAGATACAATTTAGATACATTGCAGGCTTCTTCCAGATTGAAGCCTGCAATGGGAACACTATCTATTTTTTGGAGGAAAATGTCGTGAAAATTGTATGCAAATTTCTCCAAGAGAAAAATGAAACAGCCTAAAACTTATCTGAAACGTTCCTATAACTGTGCTTCAGCCTTTGGACGTGCTTTCTATAAATAACCATTACAAAACATGCTGGTCTATTTCAAACATTGATTTGTTGTGAAAGAGACTACTATATTGCAGGTCTTACGTTACAAACCAAAATGTCCCCTGATCCTCGCCGTTGAGCTAGTGAAGGCTTTGGTTTATCTAAGGTTTGGTTTAGGGGTTTTATTTAGCTCTATAGTTATTGCCTAGGAATGGTGCGTGTCGTGACGAGGGGCTCCACCTCGCCATGGGGAGACCTTCACTGCCTGCACAGACTTTAGTGGCCTGAGCGAGCCGGACAGGAGTTTGTGGGGTGAAATAAACGAGGGTTAGTGCCCACCTCGGCCCCGAAAGGTACCCCCGTAGGAAGGTACCTCCATAGGAAGGTACGAATACCCCGTTGTTGCTGACGGACCGTCTCCCCAGGCGGCTGCAGAGGCAGCAGCTCGGCCCCGGTCCCGCGGGCCCCGCTCCCCTCGAGCAGCCCGGGCCGGGGTCCCTCGGCCGGGACATGGCTGCGCTGCCCCGGGCCCGCGGCGCTCCCTCCGGCGCTCCCGGGCCCGGCGGCCATGGCCGGGTCGTGCGCGGAGCCGCCGCAGCGAGGGGCGGGCGGGGAGGGCCGCTACGCCACTTTCGTAGCGCTGGAGGAAATGGCTGCGCATTGGGCAGCGCGGGCTGCGGGGCCGCGTGTGCAGGGCGAGCGCGGCGTAGCCGGCTCTGTGAATAGCGCCGGCGGAGCGGCAGGAGGAGGAGGAGGAGGCGCCGCGGCGGTTTGGTACCGAGCGGAGAGGGAGATGCACACGGCACTCGAGTGAGGTAGCTATAAAACCCCATTTGTTTACATGCCCTCCCCCACAGCCGCCCGGCGCCGCGGAGCGGGTGGCGGCCGGCCCGGGCCGCGCCGGGGCGGGGGGGCGGCGGTGCGGGCGAGGAGCCGCGGCGGGGACCGAGCGGCGGTAGCGGACAGCGGCTCGCCCGCGATGCGGAGCGGCGAGAGGGGCGCGCGGCGGCGCGGCCGCCTCATCACGTGGCGGCGGGGCGCGAGGCCGCGGGGTGCGCGCGGGGGGCCGGGGGGCGGCGGGCGGGGGGGCCGCGCCCGGGCTCCCCCCGAGGCGGCGGAGCGCGAGGCGCCGCCGCGGCCCTGGCGCATCCCCCCACCCCCTTTCTTCCTCCGCTCGTGAGGCGACCATGCGGCAGGTAAATCCTCCCCGCCCCCGCGCCCCGAACGGGGGCCCGGGACGTGGCCGCGGCGCTGTGGCTGCCCGGGCTGCTCGGGCGGACAGAGAAAGGGGGCGGCGGGCGTCGGGGGCTGCGGGTGTCCCGGCGGGTTCGAGCCGCCCGGTGCCCGCTCTCCGCTTCCCTCCGGCTGCCTTCCTGCCGGGAGTGCGGCTTTGGGCGCGCCCGGCCCTGCCGAGCTCGCTCTCGGTGCGGCCACGTGGAGGCCGCGGGTGCGGGGGGAAGGAGCCGGAGCCGGCCCTGGCCGCCCGGCGTGGGCGCTGCGGGTGTGCGGGGCGGCAGCGCCGTGCGGGGCCCCCAGGACTTGGCGGTGTTTGGGGACAGCCTGGGACGGCGGGTGATGAACAAGCCAGGCCATTAAATCTTGCAGGGCTTACGGTTGGGATTTAGCGCTAACCGCTGCGGAAAAATCACTCGGGCTATAACCTGCACGTAACCTTAAATAAGGTTAAGGGCCGAAGGGACAGGAGGCTTTGTCGCTGTGCTCTACAGACACAGAAATGATGAGCAAAAAACATTGATTTCCTGTTCTCAACCATCTCTGCTGCTTATGCTGCGTCCTTTGGAAACACTTAACATTGAAACTGCAGAATAAAATTGCTTTTTAAAATCTCTACCTATCTTTGTCATTTTTGGGCCTCTTTGTAGAAATGTTCATGCCTGCTAGTTGATAAGACTCTGAACAAGAGTTGCCCGAGTAGAAATACTTCTGGTTTCTAGCACTCCTAACGCTGTACGTGTGTAAGTAGCAATCATAATGTGTTTTTTTTTATTAAGGTAGGATCTTGTACCATAACACCAAGGGAGCCTGTGATAACCTCGAGCCTGATACAGAGCTGAGAAATGCACACTGGAAGACCTGGTTAGTTTTCAGACCAGCGGAAGCAGTTGTCATCTAGTTAACAAAAGTAATCCTGGCATGTTCCAGTGGGTATGTTCTTGTATCCCTTTGGGTAGTAGTAACTGACACAGTGACATAAAAATAGAAAACTTTCTATATTAAAAAGGTATTATATGTTTTTTTTAATTGGACGTTACCAGAGAATGCAAAATTTCCTCTGCTGAATAATGTGCTTTGCTTCAGATGTGCAGGGAAATAGGAATTGGGACTGAGGCATGCTATGTAACTCCAAAGTGAGGGACTGATGGTTACTCTGTAGGCAAATAGTCTGGCATGGTAATGTAGGACAAGAACTGGAAAAATCACCAAGGTCCCCAAGAACATTGACCAGCTAAATTTACTTTACCAGCTAAATTCTTGTGCTAATGGTTAAAGTAAAATTAGTGGTGGTGTCCTGCAGCATTTTTATTTTAGACTGCTTTTAACTCATACTTTAGATTAAAAAAGTATGCAGCCATGCAACCTATTTCTAAAGGAGAATAGGCTCTAGATAGATGGACAGGCTGTGAATTAATTGTGTGTTTGATGAGATTAATGGTGGCAGTTCCATATTGCATTGTGTTAGTGTCCAGGGGTGGTTGCAGAGGGGTTGTTATACACTGTTACCTGTCTGGAACAGGCAATATGACTGGAGATTCTGGTTACATAAAAAAACCTCCAAAAATATGAGCATTGTGTCAATTAATATCTGTGTAGGTCTTTGTGCTTTCCAGGTTGGCTTACATAAAACCTGGGTATTAAGTTTGTAGCATATATCCAGTCAGTCATGAAATGTGCTATTACAGCAGAGCTGTGGTTTAAAGTTATTCAAATATGCTCACAAGCTTTGTCTTAATTGATGTTTTTCCCATTGCAGGAAAATATTTCATTAAATGGGATCATCAGGGTAATTCAGACATGTTCTAGAAGGTTTACGTGACATGAAAAAGCTCATGCTGACCATCATTACTTTGACAGTGAGATAAATATATATACATATATATATGTGTATGGCAAAATTAATGTATCCAGCATGGCATAGGTTTCCTTCCTGGTCTTTCACTAAGTAAGTCAAACAGCTTTAATTTACTCTTTCTATTCTTAATACATTTTCTGCAAAGCAGTGGCTGATTCAAGTCTGAAGAGACTTTTTAAGTAGTGCCCAGATCACACAGACTTCAAGATTGTATATAGTCATAAAGGAAGTGTGTTTGGACTTGTTTGCCTTTGCTGTCCAGTTTCAATGTCGTTTGATCATGACTGTGCCTATTGTAAAGACTTATTCCTGTCTCTGTCACAGTTTTTACAGAAGTGGAAGTTTGTTTTGAATGTGTGATAGGCACTTGATAAATCGGGGATGAAGTAAATCAATTTGAGAGCATTTATGTGTTTTCATCAGATGGAATTGCTGATTAAAATTACAAAAGCTACTTAAAAGCCAAAATCCATTGAAGTTTTTCTGGAAGTTACAGTTTGGTCATTTACTGTAGTGAAACTTGGTGAAAGGATGGTGGCATCAGTACAGACTGATGGACAGACATAACTGCATGTGTCAGCAGTGAAAATGATACCAGAAAGAGAAAACCTCATTCCATTTGCTTCTCGGTTTGATGATCAGCGATGTCAGAACCCTTGGTATGTCACGGTGTATTATTTTTTAGGATGTTTTCAGAATTGTCAAATTATCTTCACTTTTTGTAACACATTTAAAAATGTCAGTAGAAGTTTCAGAGAAGGAAAGTTTAATGGCAGTTCTGTTCCTTGGGCAGGTATTTTTTCACAGGATTGAGCTTTAGGTGCGGGGTGAGTTCCTTAGGAAAAGTTATGCCTTTCGGGAAGCAATTTCTATTCTAATGTGAAGAAAATCTGTATAACTTCCTGGCTTGCTGTGGGAGTCCAACTTAATTTAGAGACCAATTATTTAAAACAATTTTATCATCTTAAAAGTATTATCTTTGAGGGTGGGCTACTGAAGTTATCTTAAATGAAACTAGTAATTTTATCTTGCTGATAAAGGCCTGAAGTAACACTTAATGCAGAAGGAATTAAGACTGCTCTTACATCATTCTTTAATTACATCTGAGATATTACTTGAAATACACCTAATAAGGTCTGGTAAGGAAATGTGTACCACTTAGGCAAAGCTAATAAACCCTTTTTTCCTAAATTTCAAAAACTGATTGAAATGCTGGAAACCATGTCCTGCCATGGTGTAACCTTCTAAAGGAGAGAAAGGTGTGTGCTGTGTCAGTCCCCCTGTTCACACTCTTTTAGTGCTATTGAGTCAGTGCCAGTGCTCCAGGCTTTTTGGATGTAATAAAAATCTGAGGGGTAAGGAAGCTAAAGAATAATTGTTTGAAGTCACTTTTGTTACCTCTGTGATAGTGCAAAGTCTGTACAGGTTTTAATACCCAGAAAGCTGGAAAGCAGCATAAAAGACTTGGAAGATGATGGTTTGCTGATGTCAGTGTGCAAAGCTTCTGAGAAGAAGGGGATGTTGGAATTACATGTAGGGTGTTGTACCCATGCCGGGGGACATGATTCATTAGACTGGAAATGTTCTCCTCTCACATGGTGCTGCCTCATCTCTCTTTGCATTTCCTGGCTGCTTTTTCCATTGCTGCAGAGCAGGAATGACTCAGCTGCTGGCCTTTCTCTCTCAGTGACCAGGAGCTTCATTCTCATCTGACTGTCACCTTCTCTGTAGCCTCATGAAGTCTGTGAGAGCAACCTGCACCTCTTTTTGTTCTGTGTTGCCAGTCACAAGTCAGAATTAAGCAAAGTAGCACATCTGTACAAAATGTGGAATATTAACATAGGACCTAAAACTCAGTTTCTGGACTGTTAAGAGGCACAGGAAATTGTATAAGCATTCAATTTGGTGCTTAAGTGATAAGCACAATTCTGAATAAGTGTGAATAAGTCTGAATAATACCTTAACTGATAAAGACACACTTCTAAAGTCACCAAAGTAGCTGAACCAATCTTGCTTTGGGAGAAAGTCTTTGTAATACTGGAAGCTGCTGTCTAACTGATCATGTTTGAAAGTCATCAATCTACATTGTGGTTGGTTAGATAAAATGTATATGTGAGATGAAATGCTCTTCAGGTTAGGAATGAAAAAAGTTTCATGCAGAATTTGCATAGAATAGTAACTACAATAAACAGAGACTTTGTGCAATGTTTCTGCATGTAGGTTTTAAATGATTTAGAAATAGTTACCAATCGCAGCTCTGAGTAAAGACCACTGTAATTCATCATGAATTCCAGGCAGGGGTTGTCACACAATTTATACATAAAGATGCAGGTCTCTAGATTATCTGACTTACACTACATTCATAAATAGCTCCTTAGGGTGATGATTATTAATGGACAAAAGTAATACCTTGAATTCTCAAAGATAACTGTAAATGATAAAATATTTACACCTGGTGCTTTGATATCTATAAATAGTTACCCTTTAACCAAGCTAATTGCTGATAATAGCATGCAACCACATTGAGATTGGAGCAGCAAAGAAAAACAAAGGAAAAGTGTATGTAATCCTCAAGGTAGTCTCAGTAGACATTGTTCAACATGATTCTTCTTATAGATTTTTTTTGAGCAATATCTTTGTTAACATTGATTTGCATTTTAAATAAGATTGAGTGGCCCTGAATTCCATCTAGGATTGCTCATGATAGCCATATGTCATTTGTACAGCTGGCAGCTGAGTTCAGTCCCTAGTGATGTCCCAAGTGAGTGTTCCTGCAAGGGGGAGCAGTGAGCCAGGGCTGCTGCTCAGTCCTGCTTCATCCATACCTTGTACAGAGCAGTCCAGAAAAGCTGCTTCACTGCCAGTGGCAGACTGCACTCTGTGTTTCACATTGTGGTTGCATTACTTCCCAGGGCTCTGTGCAATTCCTCTAACCATTCCTGTCAAGGAAGGCCTCTTCCCACCAGGGCTCCACTGGCCTGATAAGCACTTTGATCCATGAAATGCAAACGGTGTCGTATAGGCCATATATATTGTCTGGGGCTGTTTGCAGAATATAGAAGCTTTTTTTTTTTGTGCTGACTTGAATATCTGTCTCT